GTCGATCAGTACCCTGACCAGTAAGGAGGATAACGCCCGGCCTGACTTCGGCTTAGTCACTGCCTAGACTGCACTGCTACTGCTTACAACGCTTATTCTCAACTTGGCCTTCTATCCAGACTTCGTTAGCTGGCCAAGTTCAAGGAGAAGTTGAACGGGCTTATGGTGGAAGGGAAAGTGCTTGGGAACAACACTTCCAGGGTTACATTGTGACCGAGCATTACCCTTTGGGAGCAGTACGCATACGAGATGATGGAAGGTTATGGACGACCATTGTCATAGCTTTTTGTCAAGTCTAAGTAAAAGACAGTTGTAGTGGTGACTTGGCAATGGAGTCTGGCGATAGGCTATACCATGAGATGGCCATTTCTGAGAGATCTTACGAGATGCCATAAATCTCCGCCAATCGTGTAGGACGAATATAGAATCGGGCTCCAGATCATGTTGATTGAGTGCTTGGCTTGTAAGAGAAGAAGACCCACACACGAGTAGCTACACCGCGATGTTGCACGGTACAATTCGCAGTACGCCGACGGAGATTCATTCGGTGCTGATCGCAACAGTACATAACTTATCCGACACAGTATATACCTCATACAACTTACCCGACACGGTATAGACTCATACAGTGTGCGAACAGTATAAGTATCACGGTCAGAGTTACTCGTTTTCTAATCAGCGCCTTTCACATCGACATCTTCAGCCAACACTCTACTACCTTCACTTCATCCAGAGTATTCTCATACTTCCCGCCATCATGCGATTCTCCAAGATCAGCTGCTTGAGCGTTCTCGCTCTTACGTCTTCGGCCATGGCCGCCGCTGACCCTGTCGTAAACGTCGAGGGATCGGTCGAGGTTGTCCCAGTGAGAATGACCAGCTGAAGACAATGAATATTGCATAAGCTAACTTGCAAAAAGGAGGTCGTCGAGAAGAGACTTGCTCCTATCGCCATTGCGCTCATCAAGGTCATCGGAGGACAACTTCTTGCAGGTGCTGCCAAGATCGCAGTCGACGCGACCAAGGCCCACCTTGAGGTTGAAAAGGCCGATTTCAACAACTTTGATGATGTAGGTCGATGCCGTGCATGAGATGAATTCTGCTAACAAGTCGCCCCAGGCTCGTGAGGCCTTCACCAAGTCGCTGAGCAAAGATCTTTACGAGAAGAGAGTAGCTGGTGTGAAGGGTGTAGCTTGCTACAACGGCCCCTATGCTTTCAGCTCAGGTGCCTCCTACGAGGGCCCCGTTACTGTCAAGTTCGAATGGGACATGTACAACACCGAGTAAGTCTAGTGCTCTTTTGCTAGCTGGAGAAATCCCTTTCTAACAGTTCCGTACTAGCTACGACTGCTTCGAGATCAAATCCGGTACCGCAATCAACAAGGGTGATGGAGGATTCATCAACGTAAGTTTTACCTCAGATTCATATCAGACTTCGATACTAAGCTGTTTTCAGATTGCCTACTACGGTCAATGCCAGCATGCTGGTGCTGAATACCGCTGCTAAGCGCGTTCTTGCTTGAACCACTTTTTAGGCGGTACCAGTAGCGGCAATCACAGGAAACGGAGAGATTGTAGTTCAGTTCAGGCGTCGAAGTTAAACTTAGAAGCACTTATGTTTCAATATCTTGAGAGCGGACAGTATAATGTTACAGTACAATCATTCCCAACCGTTCCTCAGAATGTAAACCAGTGACTGTTACCATACAAATCAGGCTTCCTCAGACTGACTCGAACGCAATTCTACACATTTGTGAGGTGTGGTTCTTCGTTAAGGAATGAGGTTTGCGCCGCTCCTGATTAGGTCTAGCGTAGATCCAGCACACGCTTAGCACCTGAGCTGACTTCTATTGAAGTGGCTCTTTGACACTCATCAAGCAACAACAGCAACCTCGAAGAACCGCGGCAGGTCAACCATCTAGTAGACGGGCCGTCTGTTCAACGAGAACTTATACTGCGCGATATTGCGATGGCCGATGCGATCAAAGATGCGCGCGCCACGTCCGCTGGTACTGGATTGACGCAGACCGCTGCGCTGCTCCCGATTTCCGCAACGCGAGTGATGCCTACGCAGTACTATACAGCGCACGAGGGATATGGCGAGCGAAATGGCCATATGAATGCAGGCTTCGACATGGTCATCTGTAATGTGTATCTTTCCAAGGAGTCAGCGATGTGCTCGAAGAGTCCGATTCACACACCTACTTCTCATCGCCTAAGTTCCGCGATTCGCAAAGTTGGCATCCCCCTGAACGAGGATCAACGCCACAAGCGTATACTCCCTCCTAATCCAAACATATTGCGATGATTGTGATTGAGATACTGTCGGTGTCTGCTCCACATCCAACCGAGCTGTCTCTGTCAGTATGATCGCTTTCACGGTTCACTGGGATAGGTACTTACGCTGCTTCTTAGCGCGCAGTCGTCTCTGGCGGAGCAGATGTGCAGCGATCAGGATAAATATAGGCGTGCAGCTTGCGAAAAGAGCAAGTACGGAAATTGTGTTGTCTTTTGACCAGGTCATCGTCAGCTGTGCGGGTTTTTCGAGGTCGTCAAGTTAGACAGGATTGTCGGTCTGCTGGTTCACAGCGGTCTGTCGCGTCGAACATATCTACTGACAGAAAAGCAGATTTCCAAGAAATGATTCAAGTTCAGACTTGAAGATCGCTATTAAGATTCCGAAATTTGGAGATTTTCGTCCGGTGTCGTTGAGGCTTGGTTGATTAGAATCAGAATTCTAATTCAGATTTGAGTGATGCTGCTGAGGAAAACAGATTCTACCCAAACATGCGCCAAGTGAAACTAATGCGCTGGCAGGATATTGAGATTTGAGCCTCGTATCATGAACGAATGATGCTGGGGATTTCGGATTCTTATTCAGGTGAGGCCAAGCGTGGACAAATCCGATTTGAGCGAGGCTGAAAGTCCTGAAATCTGATTCTGGTGGGCGCAGTCGTGACGATCACGACGGACTAGCCACACGAGCAGGCTTCAAATCAGATTTCGCTCCATGGGGTTGCAGTCGTAAGCATTCTAGGCTGTTTTGGGTCAACATGCATGAGTTGGGTGGCTGAATCAAGATTGCGAACGCCACCTGGGCAGTGACATCACGTGCGTTCTCACATTAGACGCAGGTGCCCCGCTTTCAGCCTGATGTCAAACATCATCTTTTTACTTACATCGATAGCTCTGCTCATGTGGAGACCTCTGCTCATATCAAGATCTTTTCATCTGCTTCACAGATTCTCTCATCGAACGTAGCAATGATGGAGAACAGATACTCACAACGTATTCCGAGGCGGACGTGGGACATACACAAGCAAAACATCTTGCGCTTATATCTCTTGGAGAACAGGCCGCTGAACGCAGTCAAGGATATGATGCACTCTGAATACGGTTTCTCGGCAACGTAAGTGCATGGCAAAACAACGAGTAGCCACTTATCAGTCATGAAGGGTATGTATTAACTTGCAGATAGCAAATCCCAGTACGAGACAAGGCTGAAGAAATGGAGTTGCTACAAATATGCAGCTGCACATGATCGCCGTACTAAAGCATCAGTCCTTGATAACCAGGGAGCGGAAGGTTTAGTAAGAGAAGGATACACACAAGGGCCTGATAGCGACGCGCCCACTGAGAGTAAGAGCTTGGATATTCCCAAATACAGCGTGTCATTAACCGTTCTACATAGCGCATTCAAATCCAAGGAACATTCCGATCCGAGCCTCTTCTCCACACCACACCACTCTACAGCCATGTCAACTAAGTCATCTTCCTCCCAGGATCTCACACTCGGCCTCAGTCGAAAATTTACCCAACCCCCCATATTTCTCCATGGATAGTGTCACTCTTCAATCTTGCACATCACATCGTGAATTTGAATCACTCGTCTCCCAGGACCCCACATGGGCTTCGAAAACAGCCGTCATTGCAAATGATCTGTTCCATTCCGCATTACACATGAACATCGACGTAGACACTAGCTCAGCGTCATCAGTAGATTCACACGACATGGAGCTACCCGGAGACTCAGGCAGTCTATCGTTCTCTTCAAGCATGATGTATGCTCGTGGTTTCATGGGGCAGAACGATATGAGACTCTCGAACTTGGACATTTTCCCGGACAACTCATCACTACGCGAAACAACCCATCCAGGCGGACTCTCTGTACCTGACTTCGCAACCTCAATGTTTCCGGTTATTTCACGCATGTTTCCTAGAGCTGCGTCTTCCCCCCATCTAGTCATACTTGGAAACAATGGTGCATTCAATTCAGCACTGAGGAACATGTCGCATCCCAGTACGCTACAGCTCGTCCACCAACAAAGCATTGATCATCAGATCATCTATATGATCTTTCATCGACTGATTAATGATAGCGATGCTGTCCGGGCGCTCGAAGAACCTCAGACGGAGCTCGACCAGATTTTTAAGACTGGCGTGATACATTGCTTCTCCCTTGGGAGACGTGGCCTTAGCAGTCTTATCAATTCTACTCCGTCGTCCTTCATCCCGGCCTTGATGCAGAACATATTCCGTGCGGCGCTAGTTCTGGGTAACGAGGCCATCTTGAATTACGTCTTGAAAATGGACCAAGCGAATCTCGCCAACCAATCCTTTTTTCTTGGAGGCGATGAGTACTACCCATTGGAGTACGCGGGTCGAAAAGGGCACATTCAAGCAACAAAGGCGCTTCTTGACCACGGTGCTGATCCTAATCGACGAACAGATCGTCATAGTCGTAGTCTTCTGGCAATGATTCTGGGATCGCCATGGGAAAATAGAGACCCTCGAGTAGGAGTCCAAGTTCTTCGGCTCTTGATTGATCATGGTCTTGAACCCCAACCTCGCGAATTTGTAGCCAGAATGAAGCAATGCACGAAGGATGAATTATCGGTCTTAGCTACGCATAGCTTGGACAAGAGCTTCGAAACTTTCTTTGAAAACAAAGGTTTACCAGTACTTTTGTTGCAACCAGAGTGGGACGATCCCTGCTGCACGATGCTGAAATCTATTTTGGATCGGGCTTTCTTGGAAATCGATGGTCAGAAGGCGACTTGGGACCAGATGTTGCGATTCTCACTCTCTGCTGCAGTACTGCGCAGCCGTACGTCAGCAGTCGAAATACTGCTTTCCATGGGTGCAACTCCAGACACACACTGCTTGATCAGTGCTGCTCAAAGTAATGATATGCATATGCTCAAAGATCTTCTGGGCCGCGGTCTAGACCCCAACACCATATTTTCGAGGCCGCCGGATACTTATCATGAAATGTTTTATATGTGGGATCGGGACGATGGTTGTACTGCACTTAGTCAGTCGATTATGAATCGGTCTAGAGGAGCGTTTCAAATACTTCAAGAGCAAGGGTTTATTTCCCGTCTACCCCATCAACCGGCTGGATTTGCCTCAGCCTTCGTGGCTGCGTGCCGGGTGGGTGACAGCGCCCTTATCGAGCAGCTTCTAAAATTACCAAAATTCCCACGTACGCAGGAGAAACTAGGAAACGCCATCGAAGCTGCCATGAGAGGGGATCAATTTCACATCATCGACAAGCTCTTGTCTGCGGGGATGAGGCCGAGCATAAGAAGCCTTGAATTAGCACTTGAAAAAAAGCAGCTCATAACTGTCATTCTCTTAACCAGACAACTGGATATCTCTGGAAGGCTATACCCCTATCCGTCCCAACAAAAAAATGCCATACTTTGGGAGGCTTTACGCTGGGGTAATCATACAGCTATCGAGCATGTACTCAAGATTGGGCACCCTATCAATGTGTGCGATGATATGACAGATGGCAAGCTCGCGGACTGGAAATTGTTGCCAGATATACCAACACCTGGTTTGGGTAAAGGCTGGAATTACACACCTTTGGCCGCCGCAATATTAGGAGGCAATACTATCACGGTCCGAACCTTGATAGATTACGGTATACAGGCTGTGTCATTCCGTGTACACGGTACATCTCACGAGTACAACTCCTATGCTACGACATCCGACTATAGACACGGGTGGATATTAACCCCGCTGGCTGCTGCTGCAGTCACAAATGACGTTCCTTTATGCAAAGAGATCTTGCGCATAGGAGCGGATCCTTTTGACAACAGCGCTCTTCTCTTATGCTCTGTGATTGGTTCTAGAGAAGAGTTCGTTGCGTTACTGATCTCTGCTTTCAAAGCTCGATATCCAGATGGAGCACAATCTTTCGGGTCTGACGCACTATACAACGTCATCAGAGGTGACAATCTTCGACTACTCAAGCTGCTCGCTAAAGATGGAGATCTTACTGGGCCAGTCGAGAAGGATCGTGGAGGCGAGGGACCTCCATATTCTCGATCTGATATAGTGTTCACGAGTCCACTCGGCCAAGCAGTCCTTCAGCATGCTGAACGCCAGGGCGCTGGCGAAGCGCTCGACTATCTTCTGCCTCTGGTCAAAGATCTCAATGCCATTGTACACAGAACCTACAGGCATGGTAGTATGACTCCTCTACTCTATGCAATCTCCCTAGGCTCACTGGCAACTGTTCAGAAGTTGCATCAAGCCGGCGCAGACATATCACTTCCAGCAAAGTGGTTGATCCCACGAACACCACTACAAGCAGCAGCGCAAGCCGGAAGTAAAGATATTGTAGAATATCTCTTGAACCAAGGCATTATTTCCAACGAATCCCCTGCAGACCGAGCTGGAGCAACAGCCCTTCAACTAGCCGCAATCACAGGGAAAATTGGTGTAGCGACGGTTCTCCTGGATGCTGGTGCCGAAATCAACGCGCCACCAGCTTTTGGTGATGGCAGAACTGCTTTCGAGGGTGCCACGGAACACGGACGTATTGAGATGATGATCTTTCTCGTCAGTCGAGGGGCAGATCTTCTTTCGAATGGGAGTGTACAATATCGACGAGCTGTTGAGTTTGCAGAGGACAATGCACAGCATGCTGCAAGAAAGCTCGCGGATGAGTTGTACGGGAAGGTTTCGGCGAGTCAAGGACCGAGCTTCATTGATATGGGTGCGGACGCGTGGGCTGGCGTTGGTGCGAGCGGCTTTGAGAACTTTTTGTAGTGATGGCATCCACAACATTTCCTTTACTCCTTCGTCAATGTAGAATAGAACAAATGTCTCCGGTGTGGATATAGGTTTCCTTGGTAGAACACTGCCCGTTCTCAACATTCTGTAACATCAGAAATTCGAGATCTACATAGACTTGTTTGCTAGTCAGCCATATAACTTGCTTACCTCTCGCTTACACGCTTCATCAAGTTGAACGTTACCATCAACATGTGTATCACGAAAAGCATCCACAGTCCTCGGTAGATTGGACACAATGCTATTGTCACGAATCTACACTTAACCAACCAGCCATCTAAAGCTTACTCGCCTCCCCACTCGTCCTGTTAAGATACAACGGATCCCTCGGCTCAATACCATACTTCCTGCACAACTCCTCACCCTTCTTCTGCTGCGCCTCAATCCTCTGCTTATGCGCCAACCCCCTCTTATTCTCATTCTTACCCAACTGCAACAAATGCACCTCATCCGGCCCGTCCACAATCCTCATCGTACGACCACTCGACCACATCTGCGCGAGCGGCGTATCCTGACTAACACCCGCACCACCATAAGCCTGCATCGCCCAGTCGATAACCTTGAGGTTGACTTCGGGGACAAGGACCTTGACTTCTGCAATCTCCTTGAGCGCGCCCTTTGCATTCGTCTCGTCAATCTTGATAGCGGCGTTCAAGACGGCAAGACGCGCAGCATCGATTTCGATGCGGGAGCGTGCGACGCGCTCGAGCATGATGCCGTGCTTGTTGAGCAGCTGGCCAAACGGCTTCTTGCGCTCGTCGTTGATGCGCGCCAGGAACCATTCTAGCGCCTTCTCGGCAGATCCGATGCTGCGCATGGCGTGGTGGATACGGCCGGGTCCGAGACGGCCTTGGATGATTTCGAAACCGCGGCCCTCGCCGAGCACCATGTTGCTGGCGGGGACACGGACGTTCTCAAAGGTAACGTGGCCGTGGCCGTGGGGCGCGTCGTCGAAACCCATGACTGAGAGCATGCGGTGGATCGTCACACCGGGTGTGTCGTTGGAGACGAGGATGACGGATTGCTGCTTGTATTTGTCGGAGTTGTTGGGGTCCGTCTTTCCGAGGACGATGAAGATCTTGCAGCGAGGGTCGCCGATGCCTGATGACCACCATTTCTGGCGAGGTGTTAGTAGGGTGGAGGATGGCGTGAGCTGAAGGCAGACTAACCTGGCCGTTCAAGACGTAGTGGTCGCCGTCCTTCTTGATGGTCATCTCAATGTTGGTAGCATCACTCGACGCAACCTGAGGCTCCGTCATCAAGAACGCAGACCTGATCTTGCCCTGGAGCAGCGGGTCCAGCCACTTCCTCTTCTGTGCCTCGGTACCGTACTTGGCAATGACCTCCATGTTGCCGGTATCAGGAGCAGCGCAGTTGACAGCCTCAGACGCTGTCCGGCTCTTGCCCAGGTACTCAGCCATGAGTCCGTACTCCAAGTTACTGAAACCAGCACCCTCCTTGAAGTGTGCCTTGGGCAGGAACATGTTCCACAGTCCGAGTTCTTGTGCCCGCTTCTTCAAGTCCTCGATTATGGATGGATGTGACGAAAAGCGCTCTTGGACCGTCTGGCCGATCTGGCGCACGTAAACAGCGTCGGCGGGGATGCATTCTTCCTCGACAAACTTCTCTACCTATGCAGACGTTAGCATACCATGTGACATAGCTTGTAGGGCATCTCACAATATCGAGAGTCTTCGCCGCTCTCTCGCTGACGAATGGCCGCGCGATGGCGGGAATGCGCTGAGAGGCGGAGACATGGCCATTCTGGCTGTTGCTCAGCAAGTCCATGGCGCGGTCGTACGGTACAGACATGATTGCTGTCTGTAAGAGTGAGTATGAGGTAGGGAGGAAGTTCAGGGAGGAAATCCGGGGTAGTTTAACAAAAGATGCGGAGACGAGTCGTCCATGGCTACTGCTTCGGTCATTGACGTTGGGGAGCTAAGAGTTGCCGAGGTACGATCTGGAACACCTCCGCTTTGGACCTCGTAATCAGCCAGACTCACACCACGAAGGCATGATACTTTGCCGATGGGAAATGCACTCCAGGGAAACATGTCGTTGGCCGAGGCATTGATGGAGTGATGGTGTTGAAGATGTTGCAGTTGTACTTGGCGATGGGTGCGCCATGAACGCGACGCCGCCGTTACGCGTGGCGCGCTTTGTTTAACCTCCCAACGAGACGTGAAGCCTTATATATATACATATATATATATCAAGAAGATAATTATGGTTCACCTAATGAAGCTCTAAAACATTGCAAGGCTCGTGATGTAGAAAATCAACGTTTACACTGCCTCCATAGGCAACTGAGTGACTCATCTTGACATAGTACTTTCAAGGCGTCCAGTCGAGCAACCGACTGTGATTCAGCTTGTACACCAGAACCTCCAATTCGGTATTACCAAAAATGCCGCAGCTTCCAGCACTACCACGGGAGCTCATTGACCACATCATCTCATCACTCATCGCCCTTTATGACCACGACCCAGCCTACCAATGGACATACCTACGCCACATAACGCGCCACCACAAAGCACATCTCGAGCAAAACTTCCTCAACTTTTGGGTTCCCAAGCTGTCATTCCAGATAGGTGATTATCACCGCTCACGGGCCTCTGCCGAATTCCAAGCTCTCAAACAACCTTGCCACGGTGCCTATTCAACGGTAGCCTGCTCCAACGCTTTCCATTCACACCCGCAAACAGCCTCACACCCAACTTTCTTGTCCTTATCGAGATGCGCGTGCTGCTTGAAGCCATTCCTTCGTTCGGGACTCCAGGCTGCCGCGTCTTTGCCGACATGCGACCAGAGCTTTACCGGAAGGAATGAGGATGCAGACATCATAACTTTCAAAGAGATGTGGGGTCTTAGTCTATCCGACGTGCCACAAGGCTGGCCTGAGGAAGCTAGAAGATCAAACGACAGAAAGCCATGGGAGCAATTCGACTTGAACGTCATAGTGCGGTTCGGCCAAGGCACACTGAACAGAGGTTATACAAAAGGCGGTATGAGGAACGACATCATCATCCCCGGTTTCTCGATCAATTTTGATACCTCGCCCTGGGAATTCTCGTTTGATTGGAAAGCGCTCTTTACCCGGCTATTCACCGAAGAAATGGTCATGCGGACGTTTCGGGATAAATTCCTCGAGGCATTCGTCCCGACCTTGGAAGAAGAGAATTTGAGTCCAGACTTGAGAAAATCAGCTATTCACCGTCACTTGCGTAACCACTTCTATGACCAGCGTAGGACTGTGCTTGCTGCTTACCGTTGGTACAAGTATTCTCCCAAAGACAATGAACATGATGGTGCCAGATATCCTTGCAGCCCCGAACAAGGCCGTGGACGATTTGCTGGATTGCATTCTGAAGGGCAGTGGGTCTGTGGGCATATTCGATGCGACCAACAGTACGCTGGCGCGACGACAGCAGATCATGGAGCGGATACGAGATCGTGCTGGACCAGAACTCAACAACGTTTTGTTCGTCGAGAGCGACCCTTTGACTTCACACCCTATGTTTACAGAGGCGGAGAGAAGCTTTACGGTGATCTATTTGAACATTTTGAGGAGCTCGACATCGAAGAGAGTATGGTATTTCAAGTTCCCAATTGGGAGACTTTAGCTATACGCGACATATTGCAGCTGCGTGTAGGTGAAGATATGGTTGAAGGGCATTTCGTTTGGCCGGAAGATGTGTACGGAAATTCCGATCAAATACACGGGTTCCTTTGTAAGGAGTACTTTGAGGGTCATTTCAGAGAAGGAAAGGAAAGGCACCTGGCCAGTGACGTAGTGCTCGAGAAGCGTTTGAGAGAGGATGAAGACCTGGATCTCGAGGCGTTTTGGCCTTGATAAGTAGAAATATGATGCAATATATCGAGTATAGGGAGATTAAAGAATCTCTCCGTCTTTCCCTGCACGTTATGCTTATCGTGTCTAGCGTATTGCGGCTGACATGAATACCCGTATGCCGTAGAATATTCTTGGGAAATCATTGGTTGAGCGTATACTGAATTAAAAGAGGGAGATGATACACGTTACCGATCATTGGCGAGAACAGGATAGCTGGTATCGATTTCGACGTCTGAAGTGTTTTTCCATTGGTGAGGTCCAAGTTACGACGTTGAGTTCCCAACGTAAGTGACAAGGTGAAAAGGATGCCACCAAGTACGACTTGTGATGTAGATGGGCCAGTAACATCAACATACAACGCGATGCTAAAACGTTGCTCGAACCGTTCTACCGGATTTCGAGCTGCGGAAGGATTGCTTATTGTGGGTCGGCTTGAACGGGGAAATCGTAGAACATGGGGCAAAGTATTTCGTGTACTTGTTTCGACGACAAGAGCGCCCAGACTGTGTTCTAATCGTTACAGCCGAGTTATGAGCGGTTGTAGCTAGAACCATTAGGGACTGGACAATGAGAGCTCGCGGCTTTGCTGAGGGATGCGCATTACGATCATATCGATCTGAGGTTCTGTTGTATAGGCTGACCAAGATGCACCAGAAGGTGTTGCACCCACTAACGGCGGCGTATGACGGTACCAGATGAAGAAAGTGTCAGTCATGTACGTACTTGACCATTGACAGACTGGTATCATCCGTTCGGGTAGCCGCTGGGTTGCTGGCTCTGCGTCGACTCGGATGAGAGCATGAGATGTGTGCGCTGAACCGTGACGATGTAACCACGACACTAAGATGCACTGCAACGAATTCCAACGTGACAGCTGTAGACAAGCGTCGCGAGCTCCCCGGCCGATGTCGGTAACTGTACATCGAGTGTAGTACAACCACCGTGCATCCTCCATTGTCTTCATCTAAATGGAGCATGTTAATTCCGTGCTGCATGAGAGCGCGCTATCAGGAAGGAAATCTCCGAGTGTTCGACGGCATAGGCGGGTCGGCATAGTCCGGTCGTTGGGTGTGACGAGTAGGACGGGTACCCCGTAAGGCTGAGATGTGTATGCGTGCGTTGC